AGTCTTGTGTTAATCTTACGTTGCCGGCCAAAGAACCGGCTTCATCCATATGTTAAGTTAGAAATAAGTTAGTAAGTTCTGCTCCCTTCTTTGCCGCATAAGCCGTAGAGGTGCGGCGTATGTTGTACCCCAACAAGAAAATAAACTCCCGCCTCGCCAGGGCTACTCGCGGGGGAAAGTTGAAAGAACCTCCCGCCGCCTTTAACCGCACGTGCGGCAAGTGCTTGTGGCCCGGTGGAGCTCAGCCCCCGTGGGCCGGCCAACTGAGACCGGGCGGGCCACGCTCGCCCGCTAGCTATCCAGAAGGCAACATGTCGTGCTCCCCGCTACAGCAGCCATCCCCGCAGCCACCGCGGCAAGGGGAAAAGTCGACTACCCCGCGGCGGAGCATCGTGCTCCGCGTGGCACGTGACGGTGAAGAATCCTGGAGCAGCGCAGTGGCACCACTCCCGGCTGTTACTCAGCCCGCGGGCGCCCCCGAAGACAGCCGCAGCGAGCTGCCCCATGAGGTCCTCTTAGCCTTCGCCAGATCGAAGGTCGGGGAGCTCTTCCAGTTCTGGAGATGTCAGGCTCCGCAAAACCACTCCCCATCGGTTCGGGAAAGGGCTCGCGAAATCGATGCGCGCACTCCGACCCCGGTCCCCGCACCAACGCAGAAGCGGCAACGTGGCCCCGCCACCCCGCCAGAGGCAACGCCCGGGGTAGACGCCCTACCCTGCGAGCAGCTCACGGAGGGACCCGCCCCTCCCACTCAGCCAAATGACCTGGCCGCACCGGCGACCGGCTCGCCCTCGGCACGCTCGCCTCCGGGAAAGCGGCTGCGCACCGAGGACTTAGCGCCCCCTTCCAGTGCCGACATGACGCCCGACACCGGCGACGTCTCAGAACTGCCACAACCCCTCTTCTCCGTGGGAAAAAGAGGGGAAAGAAGAACTCGCCGCCCAGGAAGCTGCTGCCCGTAACGCTCCAACCACCGCCGCGGCAGAGGTGGCGGACGGGAGCTCCGGCAGGAGAGGTAAGGCGCCAACGGACTCCGAAGCACGTCGGTCTCCCACTCCTCTCCCGGAGACAATTCCTCCACTGCGAACAATCGGCCGCCTGGCAGTCCAGCTCCGTGCGCCAGGGCGGCCAGCCCCGCAATGTGAATGGCAAGGCGGGCGCCTCTGCGCAGGCCCCGACCACAGAACCTGAAACGGCGGTCGCCTCACGACCGCCGAGATGACCCTACCGCTTCCGCCTGCAAATACACGCAGATGCAGTCAAAAAGCACGCCAAAGCGCCACTGGTAAGTTGGCCACAATCGGTCGTGTTACTACCAGAAATGGCCGAGTTGGCTACCAGGCGTCAACGCTTATCGTGAAGCCGAAGCTTCACAAAATTTACTTATTTGGTCACCAACCTTCACCTCCCCAGAGTGAACGTGCACATCGCGTGTACATTGAACAGGTTCCGCGCGGCATCACTGCTGACGAGGTGCGCGAGGAGCTTGAGGGCGTTTATCAACATGTTCGCCGCGAACTCTTCCAAACCGCAGGAACTTTGGAGAAAAGTTATGCCGCAGATGGCGACGCCACCGAAACTCACTTCGCGCGCACGGGGACTTTTCGCGTCACCCTTCGCGCGGGCGAGTCGCGCAAAGCTTTCGGCATCAGGGCCAGCAATGGAAGCGCCCCCGCTTCTGCGAGAGATGCTGCAGATGGGGACATACTCGCAAAAATTGCGAATGCAACGTGAGATGCAAGGTCTACACGGGAGAGTGCCACCCGGCAGACAAGCCCGGCACGAAGGACTGTCCCACGAAGTAATTCCGCACGCCCGAAATGCTGCAATTGCGGCGGGCAGCACACGGTATCTTATACAAAATGCGAAAGATGCACGCCGTTGCAGCGCTCATCGAGCATCGAAAAGGAATCTGGAGAGGCCCGCAAGCCTCGACCCCCCTTCGGGCGAAGCTCCTCGGCAGAGAGTACCCGGTGCGGCGACCTGGTCAGAGGTCAACGCTGCGGGCCCAGCTTCCAATCAGGCACCCGCCACACAAAGCTCACAAAGCGGAACAAGAGACGCGCTCTCGCGACTCAATTGGGTGAAGATCAGATTCGGGGAATGATCTACCTACTGACCTTGCTTCTGCCCAACAATGGCGCTGAATAATCTAAATCCTCGTCCCGGGTAGCCTAGACAACATTAAACCCGGCCGCGGAAGACTACGCACCAACCCTCGGACGCCTTGCGAAGCATCGCTGGGAACATTCACCTGGAATGTTCCAAGTGCGTGCGAAAAGATCCAGTTGATACAGAACTTTGCTACCGAGTAACATCTAGACATATTGGCGCTGCAGGAAACGTGGTTTCGTGATCATCACACTACCCGTATTCGCGGATACGCAGTGTATCGCCGAGACCGCGAGGTCAAACGGGGGGGGGGGCAGTTTTGCGCTCCTGGTCCGACGCGACATCCCCAGCTCGAATTAACGACCCCACCTGGCGCCTTGCGTTCTCTAGAGGCAGTTGTGGTGCGAGTTTGGTCGGTTGGCGGCCGACTTACAATCGTCCGTCCGTGCCCTGCCGAAATCAGCAAGTAGGCACTGCCTGTATCGATGCGATACTCGCGTTAAATACTAAAGTTCTCATTCTAGGGGCAGGTTTCACCAACCAGGATCAAATTCGTAGTTGATCCAAGTTTCGTGATCTTGATCTGCGGAGTCATGTCCGACTTGATCCCTGTGAGTTTCACAAACCGTTTGAGACCGTGAAGTTGAACTAGATCCCATGATTCCCGATTCCAGTCGTGAAAATGCGCGGTTGGTAACAATATTACAATGCATTGTGGGTATTCTCGCGATCAGCTGTAGAAACAAATTTGTTTTTTGATTTCGTTCATTTGGTTTCTGTCCATCGGTGTGCCTTGTGTTCAGTTGTCCGGTATCCGTATCATGTCCGCAATTAATTTTTCTGAGGTAGAGAAAAATACGAGGAGGTCGGCGAATTTTTCCGCAAGCGAAAAAGATTTACTGGTTTCGTTAATGTGCCAACAAACTTGTATTTAATTCACGCACAGACAGTGCTTCAAAGTTTACGAAAACCCAAATGTGGGAAAGAGTTCTAAACGAGTTTAATGCCGAAGCACATGGCTCTGCATGCAACTTAAAAAGTTTGCAGGTATTCTGGAAGGATATCAAAAGGAGGACGAAGGATGTGGAAGGCGAAATAAGACGCCAAAGATACGTAACTGGTAAGTAATTTTCTCTTTGGAAACGAATTGTGTGTGTGTATATCCAGTTTAAAGAGAGAGATCTATGGTGTTTTCTTCCTGGCACGCCTGTCTCTTACGAGACTCTTCGTCCAGTTTTTTTAATTGGAATTGGCGGATCTAGAACGGACTAATGAGACCAGGATATGGTTTAAAAAGCCGAGCGTTTGTGATACGGTTGGTGTTTGATGGTAGTGTTAAGAGACAGTTGTTTTGGCATCAAAAAGCGCAGATCTAGCGTGGAGAACGGTGATGCCGAGGTATTTGACATTGGATTGCCACGGGGATGGGAGTTTGCGTTTATGGTCCAGAAAGGCGGTATGGGTTTTGAATAGAATACAGAGTATCTGTAGAGAATAGGAAAGAGCTTGGATTTGGCAGGGGTTTGATTGGTATGGAGTTTTGGGACGGCCCAAAGAGGTGGAAGGAATGTCGAGAGATTTTTGGAACGTTTCGAGGCGAGGGGTGAGGTTACGGCAAGGAAGCAAGGAAAGCCAGATCATCGGCAATTGAGGAACCTATTATCACTACTCCGGAAAGTGGCAAGGTGAAAT